AAAAGCCCCCCTCCATCACTGCCTAGAAGATGTATGGATATTTAACAACAATTTATTGCTGTCTACATGGTAGAGTAAAGCTCATTCTGTCCTGATCAAAGCCTTATCCTCTACTACCACCCCAACTGACTCAAAACTCACAACATAGCACCACAACCAAAGAGTCTGTATTGTCTTAGGTAGCCTTTTTCATTCATCCCATTAATCAGCTTCTATTTAGATCAGGGGTGGCCAATCTTATCCGCAAAGGGCCGGTGTGTATGCGGGTTTTTGCTGCAACTCCCTAATTAGGTCACTAATTAGAGGACTGTTTGGCTGAAGAGTCCTCACACCTGGGTTTGAACAGCTGACCTACAGTTTATCCCAAAAACCTGCATACACACCGGCCTTTTGCGGATAAGATTGGCCACCCCTGGTTTAGAGTAATACATTTACACGCGTGCATATGCATCAATGCACAGAAAGGTACATAAAAATATTTATTCAATGTAGACACCCAGTGCCTTTCCAAACACACACATTTCTTCCAATTCTATGCAAATAAACAAACTAAACTGATATTCTAACTTCTGTTTTAAATTAAAGATATTGGCTTTTGGATCTATAGAGTGACAAAACTTATTATATATAATATAGTTATATCTAGAAAGCAACGTAAATTGAGTAGTCAGTGCTAATTATTCAGCTTATAAATATTTGCTTTACAAAAGCTAATCATATTGACCAAATGTGTATTTAATTTATTTGTAGCTGTATTCAAAATTCAGCGTTTATTCCTTCCAGGGTCCACTTAAAGAGGTTTTTCCTGTTTACTCATAGTGCCGCGGCGCCCCCTAGTGGTCACATATATATCTGATGAAATATATTCAACCGTGTTCTGGGTACTTCTAGTCAGGATCGTTGGGAGCTTATTACGTAAGGCTAGGGTACACCCTGGACAAGATGCCAGTGTATCAGCGGATAATGGGCAATTTAGAAACGTCATCTCTTCGGACAGCAACAATTGTGACCACTAATGTAACACAACACCATATTAGATGTATTTTATAGACAGGTCTAGTTTCGCAGGAAATGACATCACGATCAAAAACAATGTAGACATATTGCATATAAATCGCTAGTTTTATGATCTGCATTGTCCAAGCAGAAAAAATAATGATGCATTATATGGACAAAAGTATTGTGACATACCTCTTAATCACTGAATTCAGGTGTTTCATTCAGACCCTTTGCCACAGGCACAGGTGTATGAAATCAAGCACCTAGACATGCAGTCAGGTTTACAAATATTTGTGAAAGAATGAGTCATTCTGAAGGGCTCAGTGAATTCAAGCATGATACTGTCATAGGATGCCACCTTTGCAATAAGCCGGTTCATGAAATTTCTTCATTGCTAGATATTCCACGGCCAACTGTTAAGTGGTATTACTGCAAAGTGGAAGCGTTTAGAAACAGCAGAAACTCGGCCATGTAGTGACAGACCATGTAAAGTAACAGAGCAGGACTCTGAGTGCTGAGGCGCATAGTGGGTAAAAGTCAGCAATGCTGTGTTGACTCAATAACTGCAGAGTTCCAAACTCCCTCTGGCATTAACTCCAGCATAAAACCTGTGTGCTGGGAGCTTCATGGACTGGGCTTCCATGGCCGAGCAACTGAATGCAAGCCAGACATCACCAAGCGCAGTGCCAAGCGTCGGATGGAGTGGAGTAAAGCACGCTGCCACTGGACTCTGGAGCTGTGGAAATGTGCTCTGTGGAGTGACAAATCACGCTTCTATATGTATGACAGTCTGATAGAGGAGTCTGGGTTTGGCGAATGCCAGGAGAACGTTACCTGCCTGACTGCATTGTGCCAACTATAAAGTTTGGTGGAGGAGGGATAATGGTATGGGGTTGTTTTTCAGGGGTTGGGCTGGGCCCCTAAATCTAAATGGAAATATATACAAGGAATTCATATTAGTGGATTTCGGTGGTAACATATGTAGTGATTAAGTCTTAGAAGGAAACTGTAATAAATAGTTATTTATAATTGTACAAAAGCAAGCCGGAAAACAAATCTGAATACAATTAATGCATTCTAGAATTAAAAATTAGTAGGTAAATATCTTCCGCTATGGTTTTAAAAAAATCAGTAAAAACAACTGCCCCACTCCAATATTTTTACAGATTTTTTAACCTAGCTGTCGTATTTACATAAACATCCTTATCTATAAATATCAAGTACAGGATGCAATATTATAACTTGTACGTCTGTTATATTTGGTACATTCAGAGCGGACAAGGCATTCCGGGAAACACTGGCTTGTATCACCATATTACAATTTCATGTTACCACTCTGTTTCCCGGAATCTATAGATCAGAGAGATTAAATACCCGTTTAAGCCCGAACTGACAGCAAAATATCAGAATTAACCCTGGAGCGTTTAGATCAGATGACTTGAAAGTTCAATCATTTCGTTGGTTGTGTTGCTTTCGGTTTTAATGACAGAAGCATTTCATTGGTGAAAAGATGATCCATCAAATTTATCCATAGCTGATTGGCCATCTGAAGAAATTGCCGCTGGGAGCATGCAATTGGTTGAAAATGCCGTCCATCAAATTTAGAGGTGTCTCATTGGCTATGAGCAATTTTCAGCGTTATACAGCGGCGTTGGCTCCCTTCCCTATACTCGACGTCTGACGTAACCAATTTTCATCCCTAAACGGGCGTCGTTTAGTTGTATTTGACCAGCTCCCCTTTAGAAAAAGAGATATTTAGGGGAGACATGGATAACTACAGTGCACCCGCTTCAGGGAATGGGTTTGGGTCAGAGGAAGATCCAGCCGCCGCCTTCCTGGCACAGCAAGAAAACGAGATCGCCGGGATCGAGAACGATGAAGGGTACAGCATTTCCAACGGGGGACAGGTCCAGTCCTCCTTCGGTAAGAATGCTCCAGGTGATCGAGGTATAGCAACAGAAATCTGCGATCCAACAACCAAGTGGCGAATGAATGTCGTTAACGGTCGAAATAAAAACTGCGTATGGTTTGATGACTAGATGATAAAAGCAGTGGCTGCAGGGTAAATATATAAATATTGCAAAGCAAACAAGACGACGGGGCAGAATCGGCGATTAACAGGACTGCTGTCATGGTGGCCGGAGACCCCCCTCCGGGGGAATCGGGGGTTAAGGGGAATCCATAGGAATGCGAAGCTTCTGTTTATTCTGCTAACCGTTCGTGAGATGGGCTTCTAAGCAAACACAAAATAATAACACTAAATGTATTGCATCGAAAATGAATTTAAAACAACAATGAAATTGTCTAATTTTGTTTAGTGCATGCTTACACATTAAGGGATGCCTAATTTTGCGTCTGATCGTGCGTGTGTGTGTGTGTGTGTGTGTGTGTGTGTCCTCACGCGCAGACGCACACCCGTCGCATTGTTTTCTGTAAGCTGGCACAGTCAAGCACACCACGGCGCAGATTCATTACACATAAATACGACGGCAGCTTGCAACTCCTAATGAATCCGTCCGCGCGCTCGGAGGCCTCGTGCAGCGGCGGCTTGATTGCCCGCGCGCCGGGGCGACGATGGCACGTGTCAGGAGGCGCATCTGCGGGGGAGAGATAACGGTGCGGCATCCGCAGCTCGGGCTGGTGCCGGGGGGGGGGGGGTCCCCGCAGGCTGCTCTTATATGGAGTCAGCTGCACATTACAGCCTCCTTCCAGAAATTTGCATTTAATCTTGTGCTGATTTTCAGTCTGGACGCTACAAGGGTCGAGTGTTTTGTGGACGGATTTTTTTTTTCTTTTTAGCAATCTCACAAATTTCCATATTGATTGATTTTATGTATACAGGCTTTCAAAACCTAATGTATAACGGGGGCTGGATTCAAAGGCTATTCCTACAGAGTTGAGATTTTATATGATTCTGTACGTTTTACAGTGATTGCAATATGCGGTTGATGTGTTGTAATGGAGATTGTTAGTTAATAAACAAAAAATGATCACGTGTATTTTACTGTATTTTTAGACGGAGCTGATGAGGCTGTGAATGGAGATTTTCAAGGGGTAGGTGCCCGTCACGCACCACAGCAGTTTAATTTTAGTTTTGATTTTAAAATGTAGTTTTTATATTATTTTCATTTGAAATCCAGTTTAGTTTTAGTTAGCTTTTAGTGTGGTTTTATTCATTTTATTTTAAGATTTATTTCTATTTAGTTTATATATATATATATATATATATTAGTTTAAGTTTTAGTAGTCTTATTTATATGGGTAAACTGATGGTTGTAGAGCTATTTTGTGTGTCGGATTTTTAGATAATCCTACATAAATACACAGTGCACATTATCTGCTCATGTCCCCAAAATGGGCAATACATGATCCAGGTATTATCAATGGCAATTAAACATAAATAAACCATTACTTTAGCTAAATAGTATTTAAAAACAGTAACAAAATCTATTTGATGCTTGTTTTTATTTAATATCAGTTAGTTCTAGAACAATATTTATAGTTTGCGTATAGTTGTATTTTATTTTCGATTTTTTCACATCTTATTTAAATTTACGGAACTTTATTAATAACTTGGTTATCATTAGCGAGATTAGCTCTGCCTCAGCCCGCATGCTCGTGCTAAGCGGAGCCCATACCACGGTGAACACTCACTGTGTCTACCTCCCTCTCAGGTGAGTAACGGCCCTTCGGACTCCTATGCTGCGGTGGCGCAGGCAGACCGCCTGCAGGGGGAGCCGGAGAGCCTGCGCAGGTGGAGGGAGGAGCAGCGGGAGAGGCTGGAGGCACTGGGTGAGCGAGCGTTGTAGGGGCATTCTGGATGGGGGAGGCATGGGGTGTCACAGTGCAGGAGGTCTGGTAAGTGGAAATATGGTGTATGGGGACCCATAGCTGAGGCCGAGAGGTGGTGACTCAGTATTTATGCAGTGGGACGTGATTTAGATGCAGTTAAGCAGCTGGCCAATGGCAAGCAGCAGACGGTAGACGTGACCTCCGCCGCCCCCCACCCTGTTGCTCTGCCCAGACGTCACGTCGCGCACGCAGGAGGCTGAGTGGAAGGACAGGGCCAAGGTTGACCTGGAGGAGTGGTACTGCAGACAGGACGAGCAGCTGGAGAACACTAAAGTCAACAACAGGTGAGGAAGTGCCTCTTGTTCGCCTCCGGCTTTGGGAAAACTCCAGTGGAAAACATCCAAACCCGGCTTAGTCTAAGCTGCCCAGTTATCATTAATCCCTGATATAGAGCGGGACATTGTTTAAATAACACAAAAAAAAAACATCACTACTATTGCAGACTTTCTATCTAGGCAATTCACCCATTGGCAAATATTTTATAAATCCCTGTCTTGTATGTGCTTGTAACACACAAATTATGTAATATATCCTGCCGTTTGACACGGGAGTCAATAGAAGCTTTTTTTTTTTAATCTATGGCTTTTACATTAAAGTTGTTGTGTTAGTAGACTAAGTCTGAATAGGGCTGCATCCACTGAATTGTGACTTTGCCCCAGATGACTATCTCTATGCTTCTACACTGTGTAAGTGTCTGTGTTTTTCCTCTCCTTTTTTCATCACTCGCTTTCTCTCTCTCCCTCCCCCTACTTACTGCTTCCTTGTGGGACACCTCTGTCCAGGGTGCTGGACGAAGAATTCTACAAACAGCCTCTCTCTGAGCTGATTGGCTATGTGTATGTCCCTCAAACTGGCATCCAACCTCCTCACATCCTGTCTCTACACACCTCAATACGAGCACCTTTCCTGTTTGTCAGATAATCTGCCTTGTGGAGCGTAACCTGCATACTCATGCCTGTCAGAGAAAATTCAGACGGCCTGCATTTGTGGAGATAATTTATGAGTGACATGCTATTAAGCTGATATGTTTGTACTTTAATCTTACCCAGCAGATACAATTGCAAAGGAGAGACTCTCCGCAAGATTTATTATAATAGGACTTGGGGACATTTTGCTGAATTATTGCTGAAGTTCAGACCCAGTGATTAACCTCTAGTATCTTGTAACACTGCGGTTGTGAAATTTTGAGTTTCATTACTGATATAGAGGATTTGTTCAAGTCTTGATATATCTGAAAACTTATGGTTTAAAAAGACTCCAACCCTCAAACTGCATTAACTAAGGAGAGAGAATAACATTCCGTAACAGAGAGTGCATTTGGGTTCAGATATATAGGTGGTTTGCCTGTCGAAACGTCATTAGTTGTGTAAACTCGTGATCTGATATTTTTTTTTCATATACATTGCTCATACTGTTTGCGCTATTGTTACAAAGCACCAAGTTAATCATAGTAAATAAGTCACAAAGTAAATTTAAAATAGAAAAGTATATTCAAATCTGAGGTAAGGCAGAATTGGTCTAGATAAATTTAGACTAGCCATTAGGGATGAAGCAGTAAAATTTTGGAAATAACTTTCTAAGAATCTTTTGTGGCCTTGACTAATTTTAAACTTGAAATTAAATATTTAGCGTTGAAGCTGGAAGTATTTAAAATCTTGGTTTAAAACCGAACATAATGGTACATTTTAATGAAGAGATCATTCGTCAACTGGACACAATAGACGTCTTCTGTGAGCAGGAAAATGCTGCTTTTGTAGGGGTATCTTTGTCTAGAAGAGACAAAAATACCGCCTGTCCGACGCTTAGCAACCATTGTCATGTCGAGTTAGTGACATAGGACGAAATGCTTGTGATTGGATAGATTTTCCACGTACATGAAGGACCATTTGTATGGAAACAGATGATACTGTAGACAGTAAACTTGTGTCAGAGTGGCTCTGAACACGGAGAACAGCCTTCTGTCTGGATGTAGGTACCGTGGAGTGGGGCAGCTTTCCATGCAGGAAGCAGCTTGTGCCAGCGTTAGCCGTTAGCACTCGTGCACGCAGTGTGATCTAGCTGGTTCAGTTCATCTCCATAGATCATTTCTTTTTGTTTCTCTGTAGCTGACCTCTGACCTGTTGTCCCCTTTTCTTTTCCTACGCACCTTTCAAGCACACACATTAACCATCCTTGCTACCGCCTAGACCAGTTAAGTAACAAGAGACCAAGGAGATGAAGTGTTTCCATTCTCTGTGAGATTAAAGCCCCTCGTGGTCGTGTGTTGTTAGCCCCCCCTGCCCCCCCCCCCCCCCCCCCCCCCCCCCCGTCTTGTGAGCGCATCGGTACTCTTCCTGTGTCATTGCCATATGCTCTGTCCACTGGTGTTGAGCATCGCCCCCCCCCCCCTCCAAATACCACAAACTCCTCCTTGGAATGCTAAGCATGTGGCAGTCCTTGTCCTTCAGGATGGGTGGGGCTGGTCCTTCGACTCGCACGCATGGTATTCCCTGGGAGGGTCATCCCGTACGGTGCATTAATGCTCCCGGACGTGGCTTAAATCCAGGCCCTCCATATTTGGGTGTTTGTCTTCCATTTGAGCGTGAAGGGAACCTCAAAGCCACCTATGGTGCTCACAGAGTCACACCCTCAATAAAAGCGAGTAGCCTTTGGCTCATTTACTGAAGTAGGGGAAATCCAGTGCTGGAAATCCAGTGCTGGAAATCCAGTGCTGGAAATCCAGTGCTGGAAATCCAGTGCTGGAAACATAAAGGGAAGATTAAACTAGAGGAGCTCGGGTGAGCAGGAAGGCGACTATTAACAGGTAACTTCTGCTCATCAACATGGCGATTGCTTTAATAAGCAACACCAAAACTGTCACATTTCCCCCTTATGTCATTCCAGCCCCTCCCACCCTGCTCCCCCCCCCCCCATTAATCAGCAGGTTACTGCAAGAAACTCAAGGATAGGGATGATCTGTACGAAATAATCCTGATCTATCATGTGTTGATGTGACCAGAATGCTGTGTTCTTATTGTTCTGTGAATTATTATTTATGATCATACAATCGTCGCTCATGGGAGCTTTATTTATACAAAAAGATGTTCTGAGGGCAGACGGAAAAATTAGGGGGATAACCAATCAGATGTTTTAGTCCCGCCTCCTAGTTGCTTGGACTTACCTCCTCTAAAATCTGATTGATTATACCTCTGAACCAGTCATTTTTCCTTCTGCCCTCAGAACATTTTTGAGTAAGTAAAACTCCCACAAGCGTGAGCATCTCTCAAGCCTCTGCCCTGACCCTGCCCACAAACCCTCAGACATAAAAATGAGCTTTCAAATCCCCGTTTTAACTTGGGGAAACAAACGCACAGGCTCATTTTAAGCTTACAGGTTTGCAGAAAACTGCAAAAATAAAGTGGCATTATACACTGTGAGATGGACATTAGTCACCACGGAAAGTGCTAGTGGCGAGTCTTGGGGGACGCCGTCCTCTGCTCCACCTGACCCCGGTCTTCTGTCCCCCCTCCCACCTACCTCAGGGCGACTGAGGAGGCCACGGCGGCTGCCGAAATTGGCGACGACAACATGGACCCGGGGACGGAGTGGCAGCGCGTGGCGCGCCTCTGCGACTTCAGCCCCAAGTCCAGCAAGCAGTCCAAGGATGTGTCTCGCATGCGCTCCGTGCTCATCTCCCTCAAGGAGGTGCCGCTGGTCCACTGATCTCTCCCCCTGGCCAGTGGTGGCTATGCAGCTCCAAGTGACCGCACCCACTCCGAGGAAAATGCACTACATCACCGACATTGCCGGGGTGTCGCCATGACTACATGGACTGATCTGCGCTCAGACACGCTCGAGGGAAGCCCACCCCCCAATCGGCTGTGCCCCTCTTAGGACCAAACCCCCCCCACCTCGTCCCCCTACCATGTCACCCTCAGTTTTCCAGGAATAAAGAGAATTGTACTTGTATACCTGTCCCGCGATGTACTGTGAATGTTTGTATGTACAATATATAGAGTATATATATATATATATAAATAAATATACATCCACACGTGGACAATGGAAATATGGTTTTTAACTGTTACACAGGTATCAGTGTGTTTGATGGTGTCTTATCATTAGTCTTAATGTCAATAAAACTGGAACGAAATCCTCATTGTGTGTTGTTTCACTACAAAATGGATGTAAGATTGTACTACATATTCCATATGCTAAAGCCTGTTTCACAGATGGCAATGGCTGCTTAAACTGCAGTAGTGTTTTATGTTACATGTACAGACGCTTCTTGGGTTACGGTGGCCAGTGTTACAATATTTCATATTTATAATGGGTATGATTATTCAGTTACATGAGAACACTATTATAAAATAGGCTTTGTGTTGACGATTCTGCCCAACTCTAGGGTAATGTAAAGTGTTCTAAGCATGTTTAGGCTATGATGTTCGTTAGGTTAGGTGTACTGTAATAAAATGCATTTTTGCCTCACGATATTTTCACCTTATAGTTTTATCGGAATGTACCCCCATCGTAACCAGGGGAGGGCCTGTATTTTATATTACACGCCTATAGCAAGTCACTAACAGGTGGACATAAACAATTAAGCTAACTTCACCAGCACTACGCTGACTTCCATCTTTAAGTATTACATAAATGATCCTATGTGCTGACCAACTGCTTTACGCGACTCCCCTGGTCAGTGCAGCGTCTAGAAGAGATTCGTCTAATCGCGGCTAAAATGAAAGAAAATGGAAAAAACCCCAAAGGTTGGTCTCCTCTCTAAATGAAGGTAAGGGCGCATATCAAATGGGGTTAAAATCAAAATATTTTATTATACTAATTCGTTGCATTTGTGACCGTTTTATTTAAAAAGATGAAGGTGAGAGGAGAACACTTGTTAAAATTCAAGTATTACACCAGTAGCCCTTATATTAAGAGCATAACCTGTCTGTGGAATGTAGAAATCAGAGTTCAACAGACTACTTATTGTCACGATCAGCTCCGAACGATCCTCGTGTGTGCCACGCCCCCTCATTACCTCATGTCGACTCCTGATTGTTCCCACCTATGTCTACTTAATTCCAACCTGTCCTGTGTATTTAGTCCTCGTCTGAGTCAGTCTTCCCCAGACTTGTCATTAACGTTTGATGTACTTCCCCCGGTCCTGTCCTCAGATTAAAACCCCGTTTTGTGGACTTCCTGGCTTGGCTTGCCTTCTTCCCCGTTCGCCTGCAGCACTTTACGTGACACTTATAATCTAAACATTTTTTATCCTAAAACATTAAAATTGTCGTAACTCGGATTGCCGAAATGCCACCTATAAAGAACTTTGGCAATAATGTCAGGTAACAGTTCGATAAAGCTCTAATATCACATCCACCGTCGTGGGAACTTAACCTCGCATTATGGTATGTTTAAGGTTACCTGGCCCAGTCCACTGGCTTGCTACATGAAACCTTACTGGTGTCAGCCTAGTATTGGGGCCAGTGACCGGCCTGTGCCTGTTACTGCATTCATTCATTACTGCTCTTCAATCTGTACCATACTTCAGTGGATCAGTGGACCCCCCCCCCCCTACTTCAGTGGATCAGTGGACCCCCCCCCCCCAAAAAAAAAAAAAAAATACCACAAGCCCCTTTCAAAGTGAAACTTTCACCAACTGCATGATAAAAGGAGTCACAACCCACAGATTGAGAACCACTGCTCTGTGACGACTGTACAACCCCTACAGGGTATTTATGTATAAGTATAGGGCAAGTTTATTCCATACGTTTTGTTTGCCTGGTTGGTTACTTTGATCTATAGTGCATTATAGTGCATTATAGTGCATTCATAATGCATATGGCTATAATGCATTACGCCTTTTGATAAATATTTATAGCCATATTTATAATGCTTTATGAATGCATCATTGTTATGAGTATTTAAAAATTATAAAAAATATGGCCTTCAGTCAAGTGTGATCGTTATTGTTTTTAACATATAGCTTACTTGGTGGATGGCAAAGACTGCCACTTAAAAAATACATTCTTATTTCATTTCAAATGTCTTTGCAAGCTTCAGTTAAAGGTTTGATTGTACAAGTCCCCCCACTTAGATAATGTATAAAATAAAATTGTTACTTTCGGGTCAAAACATCAATGTTATTCCTAATTTTTTTCGTAAAAAAAGTCACTTTGTTAACATGTATTCATAGGACCATTCCAAAAAATATTTAGGTCAAATACATTGAGAATACACAAGCTTCCTCCAGTAATAATGACCGATTCTGACTGATTAACATTTACCGGCTGCTGGCCAATGGCGGAACTCTACAGATAAAGGTCCCTGTAAGACACGCCCCCCACATCTCCCCAACCAATCAGCTAAACACCTTCATTACACATTGACATACTTCATCACCTGTTGGTGTGCCAAGTCTACTGACTGTCCTGACAAAATGTGAGGTTCATCAGTGTGTTCCGAAACAAACACGAGATAAGTGTTTTGGACTTCATATAACGGACAGACAAATAACAGTAAAAGATAAGTTCTCAAAATAAAACTAATACTTCACTTCCGTAAGAATGTGGGAATTTTCACCAGTTCTACTGGTCTCTTCATCCAATACTCACTGTACAAGCACACTTTTAATAGTTAGGTCCAGAACTTATGTGAAACTCCAAGTACCTAGCCCAATAGGGCCTGTGGTTTCCAGTTAAGGCCATAGATACTAGAGCAGCCAGTCTGTCTAATATGTCCTCCTGGTGGTGTAATCCAGGACCATGCTGGCTGCACCCAGTAGGGCAGGTTCCTCGAGGTCAGAGGTCACCACGCGGATGCTGTGGGCGGAGCTAAGGGCACGCTGCTGGATGATGTTCTTCACGGGGTTCTCGTAGAAGTTCGCCAGGACGCCGGAGAGAACCACTAACGAGGGGTTCACGGTGTGCAGGATGTTAATGATGCCCACGCCCAGCGCTGTGCCAGCTGTGGGGGCAGAGATGAAGGATTGGGAAGACATGAACACTACTGCAAATAAACAGAGCAGGAAGCGTCATGTGATTTTTAATGAGGGAAGAGGGAATGCTGGGAGCGCACCGCTCCACAAACCGCGAGTTTGCCCACCTGTCCTGAGGATGGCCTCAGCCTTGCCATTGCCGCGGTGGGAGGCTTCCACGAGGTGGATGGCGCTGACGGGCTCCTCGTTCTTCAGGGACATGCCCTCCATGAGCAGATCATCCTCTGTGGGGAGGAAGGGGGTCTCACACATCAACCTTTCTCATGGCTTGGACATAGAGTGTACTCTCACTTGTCCTTCAGAACGTGACAGTCTGGAACACAACCATTCTAAACTGCCTAATCGCGAGTCTCACTATGGGTTCTTCTGTTGGCTGTTGAAAGAGATTTATGGTTTGTCCTTTGGAGGGTTCTATTTGCATTCACAGCCACTATAAAATACCCTAGAGCTATCGTGTTTATTACGTATTTTGTTGCTGTTTTGCTACTTTTCTCCACAGCAACCTACAATTATACCCTTTTATATAACTGGGTATTGCACTGGTACTGAAATACATGCCCGGCACATTTCTCCAAAGTTCCGTCCAGAGTCCTTTCTGGATAACATAACCCAAGATTCCTCAAGCGAAGTATAATGGCTGGTTGGAAACTCAAGGTTCTTGTCAGTGTTTAGTCTTCCAGGGATTGGTTTGTGACTGAGACATTCCAGCACGTTTGCAAATAGAGCTTCACATGGATTTGATTTGCCTGTGTGTGCGTGTCTCTGGTGACGCGGCGATACTGACCGTCGTGGAGTCTCTTGGCCTCCCGCTGCAGGGCGGACCCCGACGCAAAGGCCTCGATGCAGCCGCGGCTGCCGCATGAGCATTCCGGTCCGTCCAGGGACACCATGATGTGGCCCAGTTCCGCCGCGCAGTAGGTGCTGCCGTGGACCAGCTCGCCCTGCTGGATGATGCCACCGCCGATGCCTGATGGGAAACGTGCGGGTCAGGGGCGTAGTCGGGTGCACGCACCGGCGAGGGGGACGGCGAGAGTACACACCCGTGCCGGTGATGACGGTGACGAAGTTCTCCACTCCCCTCCCCTGGCCGAACTTCTTCTCGGCGAGGGCGGCGCAGTTGCCGTCGTTGTCCACCCACACGGGCAGGTGCAGCGTGTCGGAGATGGGGGTGCGGATGTCCACGGAGCTCCACTCCTGGATCAGCTTGGTCGAGTGGAGGATGACCCCATCGTGGGGATTCACCCGGCCGCCGGTTGACACACCTGGGGGGGGGAACGAAAATCAGAGGACTGCACCAATGCAACGACTTGCTTGATTTTCTCTCTATGCAGCAACAATGCAGCCACTTTGGCTATAAAAACCGTTCTTACTGCATTTCAAGCTACATGCTAATCCAAGATTTACACCTTCAACTGTCAACCTGCAATTCACAGCTCGCAAAAAAGCGCCAATGCATCCTTTTACTTTCATCCCTGGGGATTCGACTGCAGGCGGATGGGCACGTACCCACTCCGAAGACCCTGCAGTTCAGGCTGACGGCGGCGTCGACGGCTGCGTCGCTGCACATCTTCAGGATCAGCTGGATCCTGTCTTCATATGTGCTTGGGTTTGGCTGGATGTATTTCTTCACAATCTTCCCCTGCCGTGAAGTTTATTTAAACTGATTAAGATCTGACATCACCAGCACAGGTACAATCACACTCCCTTGTCACAGATGAAAGCTGCCAGCTCCTAACTGGGGGGAGGAGTACAGGTTTCACCAGCACCGAGGGGCGGGGCCTTGCCTTCATGCTGACCACTGCCACCCGTAGGTTGGTGCCCCCCAGGTCCACGGCCAGCGCGCTCTGGGTCTCCAAGATGTGGTCGATGTCCTGCGAGTTGCAGTCCTTCACCACTGGGAAGCAGAAGGTCTTCTGCAGCGGCTCGTCAAGGTCAATGGTCTGCAGGAACTTCAGGATGCGGGGCACTGCGTTGCCATCTCCATAGATCTTGGAGCTGAGTTTTCCCACAAGGAGAACATTAGGCATTACAGTCACACAAGTTAACGTGTGAAAGATTCACTGTGGCTCCCATCGCTACCCCAAACACACACAATAGCCATAATATTCCTGTGCGTCATCTGGCCAGCTAAAATTCCCACATATCACTCTATAACAACCTATAATACTGTCTGAAGTTTATGGTAAGAATGTGTATCCGAGGATACTATACCACCATTATCTAAATATCCAAAACAAACTAAAGATTGTGGTTATTGTAAACCCTGCAAACAGAGCCAACATCCTGCTTCTAGAGGTCAGCCGGTTCCTCCGCGTTCCGTAATCCCTACCATGGGTAGCGTTTTCCAAACTGCAGCTCCAGTGCATGGTAGATCTTATTCTGGGTGTCTGCATCTCGCACGTGTAGAACATTCTCCCCTGGTAGAAAACGATCCAGTTAAATGACTTCATTTGGCTTTAATAGTTTGAATAAATTCATATATTATTCTTATTTGGCAATGGGACAGATGAGGGTTCAAATTCCACCGCATTTCAGCAATCATTGACAGGTTTAACCGTAAAGGAACCAAAGAGTAATTCACAAGAAGTGGGTAGGGGGCCGTGCTTGGCGATGCCAACCGCCCGGTGCCTACCGGTCTCTCGGCCCGTCTGCCGCGTGCCCAGGTTGATGACGGGCGTCCCGAAGGCGCCGGCCTCACGGACCCCGCAGCTGCTGTTGCCGATCATGCAGCCGGCATGCGACACCAGCTGGATGAACTGCTCGAAGGGCACATGCTTGACGGCCCGGAAGTTGGGGTGCCGCTCGATGCCTTTCTTTCTCATCACGCGCACCATCTCCTTACTGCCTGCGGGGGGCGTAGACAGGGTGTCGTGATGAACACCCCTCTGACGCTTCCTAAATGTTGCTCATACCGTGGTTTATATATTTTACACACACATTTTACCCATTAGGTCCTCACAACTCTGAAGACCCGTCTCTTCCAGATTTTCCCACGGCACCTCTGGGTACTCTGAGACTTAGTCCCTCCTAGCTTTTCTGATATGAGGTTCTGCGTCGATTTTTATAGCTCCTGGGAACAGGAGTTACTCAGAGTGGGGGGGGGTGCAGGTGGGACACTTTCCACTCAATATTTCAAAACGGTGGTTTGTGTCCCACCCAACATTTTCCAGGACTGGAAAATGTTGAAAAGATAAATAACTTTTTGAAAACGTTTGAAAAGATAAATAAATTTGTTGGGAGAAATTAGTTCTCGTCTACTGACTGAGGGGGAAAAAAAAAACAGCCAACGATTTCAGTTGCATATGCATAAAGAAATGTAAACAGTCAATACTGAAACAGGCAGGTACCTATACATAGGTATAGGAGGTCATAGAGGATGGATTTGACTCACTTAATGGATCTGTTCCTGTCCCCCCAGTACTGAAAACACATCGACACCCTTGGCCATAACTATCTTGCACTTGTTACTGCCCTCACTCATTGCACATATATTGGCTCCTTGACAGGTTTACGCTGGTGCCTTTTCAGTCTCGATTGTATGAAACTTTGGACAAGAACGTCTGTTAAAAATTAAAAATTGCACAATCTACAGTTTGAGGAAGCTACAGACGAGCTCTTTATGGCTCTCATCTTGTGGAAACTTCTGGAATGCACCCTTAATTTCCATATCCAATTGGATCCTGGGGGTTGGATGAAGGCCGTATCTCGATAAAAAAAAACGCGTACGGTTCTGCCCTCGAAGGCTCATACTGTTGTCACCGTTCCCAGCCAGCATGTCCCAGCCCTAACCTGCATCGATGTTGGGGAACAGGATGAGCGTCGGCTTATTGAAGGAGATGAGGGCGTCCAGCATCAGCTCGTAGATCTTGATGGAGTTCTTGATGTCCGTGGTGACGGGATGCTGCAGGGCCACGATGTAGTCCAGCTCCTTCACGTCCTCCCCTGCCAAGGACACGGGCCACACATCAACGTCGTTGCCGAAATCGGACTGCCCTCCCTCTGTCAGCTATCCTGTACAAGATATTTACCGCAAGAGTGAACCCTTGGCATTTCCAGCTAACTTCCCCGTTGCATGACAGATGGGAGAAGGGAAAATACACTTTTTAGATGCTTAGCCAAGTCTTTCAACCCTTCCTGTTTTAATGAAATAGACCCCCAAACCAGTCTGGCACGTCGGACCGGTTTCTCTCAGGCATGAGGGCCACTGAAGATCCCCACACCAAGATGTGTATCACAGAAGGGGACTCTTCAGGTTTTTCGCATCCGGCCCAAGAGTCATTCAGAATTTTAATCCCGTAATCTCACAATCGTTATGTACGCCAACATGGTGTTCGCCGATAAGCTCCGCGGTTTTACGAGGCAGTGCCCAGCCTTCCTCATACCCCTGCATGTTCACATGCTCAGGTTCATCGGGGGATGGAGTGCTTACACCTCTACTGGAGTGACTGGTTTGTGCGGCATCAACCGTCCCAGTTATCTTAAGCCTAACCACAGCAGGTCTGGAGCAGCCCTTTCCGTGACAATATATAATAGATCGATTGCCGATTTTCATAAGTTTAACGTTAGCATTTTTTTTTTCCCAGATGAACAGAAGGCTTAACGTATTTTCGCCTCTCGATAGGTCTATCGGAACGTAACCCCATCGTAAGCTGGGGAGAGACTGCAGTTTATTTCTGGAAATCCACCTACACCTCTGCAAAGTGTTCGATGAGCCGGTGGAATACTGGTCACGGACCAGTACACTCTAAAAAATGCTGGGTTGTTTTTTCAACCCAAATGCTGGGTTGAGACTGCTGGGTAACAAAGTTGGGTTGATTTAACCCAATTTGGGTTGAAAATCGGTCTTGATCTATAACCCAGCAGTGCTGGGTTGGGAACGCGGACGTGAAAGAGCACGCACGTCACGTCAACATCCAGGGACATCAGCGAGAGTTGACGGAGTTTTGCGCCGTCTTTAGAGGGAAGCCAGTGAAATTCTGTCTGAAACGTAAGTTATTCAGTGTGTATTTAACAATGTTCATAATAAATAAAACATTTGCTTTACTGTATAATATATATACACGCAAATTTTAGGCTTTCGGTCAGTTGAACTGAGATTGCCTAACGACTAAACGACGGCCGTGCTCCGCCTCACGGCCGATCTCTTGCTCAGTGGACGGGAAAGCGCGCGTGACATCGTCATCGGAAGGAGCTTGGAAAGGATAACGTAAAATTTTTAAA